TTTCCATTATATAATATATTACATGGTCAAAATAGATAGCAATATAGAAAAAAAATTAAAAACTCTATTTCATGTTCATAAGTCTTTTCTAAAAGATACAACAATATATGTAGTTCTCTGTCATGATAGAATATTTTCATATTTCTTCATAATATAGTCAGAATATGTAAGTTTGATAAATAGTATTTCCATTATAATGTTTATGCCATTTAAACTAACTTCATATCATTAAGTTCATTTTATTCATGTTTTTGAGTCTTATAATTACGTTAAATGAACAAAATATATTTTGTGTTTGACAGCTTGTAGCAACACGTTTCTCGCACCAGTGAAATATACAGCTACTTACAATTTGTACGCAATGGCAATGGCTGATGTGAATGGTGATAATAAACTGGATATTGTTGTTGTAAATAACGATGGGACCAGCGTTGGTATTCTTCTGGGCGTGGGCGATGGTACATTTGGTTCTCAGACTACTTATCCAACTGGTGACTCTCCAACTCAAGTAGTAATAGCTGATGTGAATGGTGACAATCATCCGGATTTAGTTGTTCCAAATTCCTCTGTAAACAACATTAGTGTTCTTCTCAATTCAGGCAGTGGTACATTTCTTCCTCAAGTTTCTTATGCATGTGGTGGTAATGGTCCACAGTCAGTAGCGGTGATCGATGTGAATGGTGATAATAATCGAGATATTATTATCGCAGTTTCCGGTGCGAACAATGTTACTGTTCTTCTCAATTCGGGCAGTGGTACATTTCCTTCTTTGACTTCTTATACAACTGTTAACGCTCCGTATTTCGTAGCGGCAGCTGATCTGAATAATGACAATTATCCAGATATAGTTGTCGCACTTTCCGGTGCGACCAACATTGGCGTTCTTCTCAATGCAGGTAATGGCACGTTTCTTGCTATAACAACTTATACTACTAGTACCGGTCCATGGAGAATAACATTAGCTGATGTGAATATTGATACCAAACCGGATATTGTTGTTGTAAACAGAGATTCGGCCAATATTGGCGTTTTTCTCAATGCAGGCAGTGGCACATTTTCTGGTCAAACTACTTATACAACTGGTTCTAGTACCTTTCCAAACACACTAGCAGTAGCTGATATGAATAGTGATAATTTACCAGATATTGTTGTCGGACTCCAGTCTACAAGCAAAATTGGTATTCTTCTCAATGCAGGCAGTGGCACGTTTGGTGCTATAACCGTTTATACAGCTGGCGTGAGTCCAGAAGGAATGGCAGTAGCTGATGTAAATGGTGACAGTAAACCGGATGTTATTGCTTCAGGAAACAACGTGAACTCAGTTAGCGTTCTCCTACATTGCTAAAATCTACTGATAAACTGAACTTAATTTGTTATTTGACATTATACTCCTATACTAAGGATATTATTCTTATGAAACATTGAACGATACGGACGACTAATTTTATTTGATTTCATGCTTTTTAATAAAATTTTCTCAATTCTAGAAGAAGATTTTGATTAGTTTTCTATCAGATTTCAAATAAGAAAGTTTTGAACAGAAGAAAATTGATTAAATAGATTCAAGAATTTCTTTTACAGAAAGATTCATCATTTGGTGTAGATAAAGATTTGTTTTGATTCAATATTTTTTGTAGAAAAAAGTTCTTCTTAAATATAAATAAAAATATTTTTTATCATTGTAAAAAATACACCTATAATACAGTGGTTTTTTTTATAGTTGAAGTCTTTCATAATGAAGTATAAGATGAATTTCACCACAAGATGTTGATCCATTTTTAGCTGGAATATGAAACCAATTATCAATACGGCCTATTCAAAATATAATATTAAATAAAAATGTATTAATTTTGACAAGAAACCTTTATTATATAAATCATGTAAATCAATATGGATCGAACCGATTTTTTCATCTTTAACTGAATCTTTATCATAAATATCAATATAAAGAGTATCTTGTCCTGTCAAATGATTACTAAACAAATAAATAAGAATCTAAAATAATTATAATAAAAAGGTAGACTATACAAAACAAATGATTGATTCCATTTTGGATTATTTGAATTTTGTATTATTTTTGATTTTTGTTTTTGACTTTTATCATCAAAATAAATTTTAACATATGCATCATTTTCACTAAATGTATCTTTTTGTTTTAGATTACGTCCTTCAACAATAATTACTTCTAATTGACCCATCTGAATATCTAAAAAAAAAAAGAAAAATATTCATACACATTTTCTCTTCAATCTGATGAAAAATATCGTGTTGTCATACGAGAAAAAACACCAACATATGGCAAGGATAGTCAATAAAAAAAAAGAAAAAAAACGTTCTGATTACTTTTTAAGATTGCATGTTATTTGAAACTAAATATTGTATTTATAATTTTCCTGTAAACCTAACACAAATATTTGCTTTCTTCTTGAATAACCCGATAGCAATACCAACATTAGCAAGGCACTAAACAAATTAGTTGAAAACAGAACTTCACATTAACAAATGTACGTTAAGTTTCTAAATGAAATATAAAATTCTCGAGAAATATTATTTGATTTTTTTATAGATTTCAACATTTCTGTAATAAATGAAGAATAAATGCATAATGTAGTAAAAAGAAATTTACTCACATGTTCTATTTTTTTAAGCTAATGTTGTTTTTATTGATCTTCTACAACTATTCACCTCAATAAATATTGCTGATTATTCATCGTTACCTTATCGAGAGATTTCTTTCGTATAATACATGTAATTCAAAGCCTGACTCAATATTGTTCTACTTTAGCAATATGAATGTTAATTGATTAATGATCCACAAATGTCCATTTTATTTTATTCAAACAAAAAAAAACAAGTTCAATGAAAACTGCAATAAATGCTTTTATAATCAAGAAGATAGAGTGAATGAATAAAATATATTTGGATCAGTTATTATCCATTGTGGATTATCTAACATAAATTGATTTCTTAATGAATTTGAGGATAGAGCTTTGGCTTGTGCATATGTTGTTGTTTTTGATGATAGATTATCCATTAGTTGAAGATAAAGTTTAAATAGAGAACATTTACCTATTGAATTTGCATATTGTTGTTTATGTCTTAATTTTTTAACTTGTCCTAAAGGATATCCATCAACTGTAATCACAGAAGAAGATGGATCTAGACCTGTCCACCAAGCTATTGACATTGCACAAGGACGAATTCGTTGAGATGATGGACCATAATCAAAAGATTCTTTCACAGATATAACAGATATGTCTTTAAATATAGAAGATAAATCAGTATTTGTTTGAATAATTAAACCAGATAATTTAATTGGTGATAATATTAATTGATTTAAAAGTGTTCCTTCAATACCTTGATAAATCCATCGATTAATTTTATTTGTACATGAAAGACTTGTTGTTTGAAAACCTTTTCCTGGTTTTAAATAAAGTTCTTCTCCAGATGCATTTAATGATTTATGTTCAAATTTTGGTCGTTTTATTGGATCAGCTGCATATGTATCTGATCCAATAAAACGACCAAAATTTG